TTTGTTATTGTCATATTTTATTCGCAAATACTAATGAGCATAATTATAGGAGAGAGGTGAGGAAAGCAATTATTTCTGACTAAGAACCTGAACTGAGAAGCAAAGTACCAATAGAAGATATTATGTCAGGAGTTTACCTACACCTGACTTGTAGGATATTTAAGTCTGGAGGAAAAGAATACAAACAAATTGAAGGAATTGCCATGCAGTCAACAATATCTCCAGCTGTGACATATATATATATATATTTGTTTAAGGATAGGCGGGAAAAGTTAGTAGTTGAAACGCTCAGCTCCACCCCCAAAGTGTTATGGTGGTATGAAATGTTTAAGTGACAGTGTGAAACAGATAAATAGTAAGTCATACAAGAGAGTCCTTGGCACTTAAGAGTTGCCCTGTTAAATGAGTTAGAAAGTATGTGAAAAATTATAAGAATGAAAATAATGCGAACACCAAGGGTGACATGAATATTGAACATACTTAAAGATTATGATAACACCAAGAAGAGAGAATTCCAAACAGCAGTGTTGCCGTTACAAAGAGGGAACTTCTGAAATCGTACGTAGGATTTATAAGAAGTCGGAGTAAAAGGTGACATTTAAACGCACAGACTCGCTTAGTAACGAATTGTGTAAGCTAAAGAACGCTTTTAGCTCATTATACAAAATAATTCAGTTTACCTGACACCTAAAAGTGGTTGTGAGGCCATATACATAGGTCAAAGTAAGTAGACCACAGTAAATTAGATTAGCAGAGCACAAAAAACGTAGGAAAATCTAGACTAGTAGATCCTAATCATATAAGGAATCTAGAAAATAGCTTAGCTACAACACCACCTGCAGTTACACACGACCACACACTAGAATGCGATAAAGTGCCAGTCTAATGTGGCAAGCTGGAGGGAGAGAAACTGATAACTGAACCTTTATTTATCCAATCGATTGTAAATAAGTACGGTAGGAATGATTGATTTATCCAACAAACAAATTAATATGGAATTACAATGTGAACTAACCTGCTATGTGCGAAGTTAACTGAAACCTCCGGACGCTCCCACACACACACACGAGCAATTATGTCACTGACATGCCATGCCATGAATAGATTCGAAAATAACATCTTTTCAAGCATACTCACTCCTAAAATTTGGTTAAGATATGTAGATGATACTTTTGTTGTACTAAAACGAGATCTACACAATTCATTCTTGGAGAAAATAAACTGTGTATCTCCCAGAATCCAGTTCACTTTGGAAGCAGAATCAGACGTTGGTGAATTACCATTTCTAGACTGCCTAGTTAAGAGAAGGGAAAACGGACATTTTAGTATATCCATATTCAGGAAGAAAACCCACTCCAATAAATATTCAGACTTCAAATCATCAGACCCCATCAGCGCAAAGATTTCAGTTGTTTCAAGTCTTCTAAGACGAGCACACTCTCTGATAACGGATGAGAAAGAAAAAAGAAGAAGAAATATCAAACATTACTGAAACTCTCAAGCAAAACAACTACCCAAGGGTCTTCATCAACAAAATCAACACAGACATTAAGTATGACCGAAAAAGCATTCTGAAAACATGGACATCAACAGTCGTCATTCCATATAGAGCAGAGACGTCAGATGATATCAGAAGAGTACTCAATCAGCTCGACATTAGAGTTTTCTTCAAAACATCAGACACACTACAAAACAACCTTGTCCATATAAAAGACCAGATCCCTAAAGATTCTCTATCTAATTGTGTCTATAAAATAAAATGCTTGGAATGTGATGCGATATACATCGGACAAATATCGCCAGAGAGAAATCAAAATCAGAAGAAATGAACAACGTGGAGCATCTATTCGACCATCGAGAAATCCAGTTCAATTAAAGAAGCTTGAAAAATCATCAGCCATAGGTCTACATGCTATAGAATCAGGTCACAAAATTGATTTTGACAATATTGAAATAATCCAGAAAAACTTCAGAAATCACAAAGAACGTCTAATATCAGAAGCACTTCATATCAAGTGGAATCCAAATTCTCTGAGCTGAATAGGAATGATGGACTAAAACAGAATCTGACCTGGTTACAACACCTCCCTCCCCCATCAAGTGATAAAATCAACACGAGTGTGATATGCAAGTTCACTATGTAAACACACACTGCCTTTATAATTTTAATCACTGATCAAATCCAACAATCTACATTTGATTTTGATTTTGTTATCTTTACCAATTGACCAACTTGACAACGAAAAATGACCCCAGACTAACGAACGATGATCATGTTAGTAAACTTTGTTTTGATACCATAACAGATGTACTATTACCTTTGTTATTTGATTTAGTGATATTCGTTGTTATTTTAACTTTCAATATGTCCTTTAAACTTGACCTAAGTCTATTTTTAGATAATGAAGAAAAAATGGTTAGTTTTGACATTGTCAGTTTATATATACGTATACCAATAAATATGGCTATGGAGGCAGTCAGAAACGAACTCATTTCTGACCAAGAACTCGAACTTAGGACAAAAGTGCCACTTGAGGACATAATGCTGGGAGTACAGCTGTGCCTGACTTCCACAGTATTTAAATTCCAAGGGAAAATATACAAACAAATTGAGGGAGTTGCTATGGGATCACAAATATCCCCAGTGGTAGCAGATATATACATGGATAAATGGGAAAGCATCGCAATTGAAACGTTCACCCCCACCCCAAAAGTATGGTGGAGGTACGTAGATGACACATTCACTGTACTTAGAACACAAGATATAGATAGGTTTTTCGAACACATCAACTCGAAGGTTGAAGCAATTCAATTCACTTATGAATTGGAAAATCAGGAAGGTGAGCTCCCAATGTTAGATTGCAACGTAAAGAGGAAAGAAGATGGGAAGTTAAACACTAGTGTTTACAGGAAACCCACACACTCAAACAGATATTTGGACTTCCGATCGTCCCATCCTATGTCAGTAAAAATAGGATTGGTGAAATGTTTAAATGACAGAGCACAAAAATTAAGTAGTACCAAAGCCAATCTAAAACAGGAACTGATACACATAAAAGAAGCCTTGAAACTTAATAATTACCCGGATAAATTAGTCAGGAAATATGTAAGGAAATGTAAAAATAAAATAAATAATGATACTAGCGATAGTGATAATAACAATAATAATGATAATGATAATAGTGATAATAATAATAATATTAACGATGACACCAACAATAAAGAATCTAAATCATCAGTAGTAATTCCATACAAGGAAGGAACCTCGGAAGCCATACGGAGAACTCTTAACAAGGCAGGAATAAAAACGGCATTCAAACCCACAAACAATTAGAAACAACCTTTGTCGATTAAAGGATCCTGTAGAGCCTTTAAAACAAAACAATTTAGTTTATCTCATACCCTTCCTGCAATGATTGTCAGGTCAAATACATAGGTCAAACTAGTAGAACAGGGGCAGTCAGACTAGCTGAACATAAAAACTTAGCAAAATCTAGATTGGTTGACCCGAATAAGATAAGAAATCTAGAGAATAGTTCAGCTACAGCACTACATGCAGTTACACACAACCATACAATAGGATGGGATAGGATGACACTTTTAAAATCTAATGTCACAGGGTATAGGGAGAGATTGATAACAGAAGCTTTGTTTATCGAATCAACTACAAATACATGTAATAGGAATGATTCATCACCTGTGTCCGATGTCTGGAAAATTCTACTACCCATACGACAAATAGGAGAGAACAAAGAAAACTATAAAACTCAAGTGTGAAAGTCGTGTGATCACAATTGATATGATTATGAACGATAAATTTTGTTCGAAACGTCATCCAGTAAATAATACTGTTTCACTGTGTGATATACTCAATAAACAAACTGATATGGAATTACTTACTACCACAGTGCCCAAGTTTTACACATATATCTATTTTCTCACCCCTCAACTCTTTATTATATATATGCTGAGATTCTGTAAACTCCGGTTTAATAATAATTTGATAAAGCTATTAGCATTAAATAGCGAAACGTCAGTAAAAACAACATCGTTTTGTTTTTCATCCATTGGGAAATACAAAAACCTTTATTATAAAGATTATTTTGTGTTTAGTAAGGTGATAAATAAACTCATTGATTTTGGAAATATATGATTTTTGTGTAGAGCTTACGGGGAACGTCAGATTATACAAGACTAATATGGAAAACGGATTTATCGAATAATTATCAGTGGTCCTAATGAACTTCAGTTAGACAGCTTTTCATTAGGACGCCTATAAATCATGATACTAAGTGATAGTGGTATCATTCTATCGGTCAGTAATAGTTGGATTCCAGTTTGAATGTTTGCGAACTAATTATTGGATCTGATAGCAGCCACAGGTTCAATCTGAAATCAAATTATGACTTCTCTTACTGATGGAGAGTGATGAAGTAGGATAAATGTGCTTTCAGATTATTCTGGTATTCCAGTGGTTCAAATTTCCTTTTCTGTCGTTTATACCAGAAGTAAACAAACTGGAAATTCACCAAAGAACTGGCTACATTACTTCTTCACATTCTCACAGAACTAAATGTTTAGATGATCCACAGAAGCTGTAATATCACTACTTGAATAAACTATTCGGCTTAGCTGCATCATGAATTCGTAAATTATGATGTGTAGGCATCACTCATACCAACATTATATTCACAACAAGAACCAGAGTGAAATGTCACCACAATGTAGGTGTGATGTGGTGAGCTCGAATCGAGTAATCAAGAGATCCTACATAACGTTTCATACCATCAGACCATTCAAGTCATGTAGATGTGTATATCCTAAATTTTTTGAAATGTTTTCATGATGTACAAGTAGCCAGAGTTCAAGATGAAATTTCGAACAGAAATCAAAAGCTATAGGTATTGGCTACCATTCTCTCACAAAAAACTACTCAATGACATGAGATGTTGTGGAGATAAATAAATAAATAAGCTGAAGAGAAGTTAGGAATAACTTACTTAAGACGTTTTGGCTATTCCTTTCAGGCGCAATTGTCCAGCCCAAATCTGCAAAGACTACCACAGGACCAATACGCCAACTCTTTTCATATTGTAAACGTATTGGTAGTTTGTTCTTCAGGTACACTTTCATGTATTGATGTTTACCTTTGAGTTTCCGATACAAGGATTCTGCGGAACCTCCTGAGAAACTGTCATAAGTAAGCAACACAACATACCGTTTTTGGGCCACAATCTCCAAACTACTGAAAATGGTTTAAGAGCTGAAATATATTCACTGGATTCTATATAGTCATTCAAATATATTATTCTATCTGCACTGATATTGGCCATTCCATGATCACTAGATACAATTAAATTCAGAGAACATTTAAGATTTGGTCGTGATTCAATTGACATTAGCAGATATTCTAATTGTTTGTTTATATCCCCGATAGCCTCGAGTACCTGATGACTTCCTGCACCGTATATATGTCCTGCCTTGTCTGGTTGATGGTAGTACATAAGGCCAAGATTAATTCCTTCATTTTCATACCAATTCATTAGAAGGTCAATTCGCTGTTTAAATGTGATACTGTCATTATATGGTTTCAAGTAGAAATTCGGTCTGACTCCTTTTACTTCTGCTTCACTTCCAATCCAATAAGCTATCCCAGTCTTATAACCATGTAGTTGATTTGTCACCCATATCGGTTCAGCACCAACATCAAAAAACCGAGAATCTTTTAATGATTTCGGATTTCTTGAATAGAATGTGGTATTAATAATTGGATCATAGAACACATTATCGACTATTCCATGACTTTCAGGATACAGTCCAGTTGCCATAGTATAATGTGATGGGAATGTTGAAGATGGGAAGACATTTGTTAACCTGTTTATATAAACACCAGAGTGTTGAATTTTTTTAAATGCTGACAGATTAATATTATTTTGTTCAGCCAAATCAAAATAGTCATAGCGAAATCCATCAAGAGATAGGAATAGAACTTTTGGATTGCTTGAGCAGTTACCATCACCATAGATACATTTTTGATGAAGTTGGAGTAAAGTTAGAGTAATCAAAACAGTGACGATTGTGTACTTCATTGAAGCTTACAATTATTTTATCTGTCTAGCCTATAAGGTTTTGTGTTTATATATGGTTTATTTACGGTCGTCTATGTGGTTAGACATCATCTTTATCAGTCATGTGATACGGATGAATATTAATATACAGAATTAATTATAAGAGCTTATTATCTATCCACTTCCATAAGTTATTAGCATAATTTGTTAATCACGCTTCACTAGTCAGTCTTTCTAACATGCAGACTTTGCCTAATTGAATAAATTCACAGTCTATGCCATAAATCAATTTATTATCTGCATATGAAGGAACGAATCAAATTTAACCTAAAAGCTTGAAAACTGAGCATAATTTATGGTCTCGTAAAACTACATACTAGTCTGCTTTATATCGGAATCAGTGGAAGTGGTCACCCACTTTCATATACACTAGTTTAATGCAGGTATAATGCTGACGAACACCCCATAATCAGTTGAATTCCATATTTATAATGTTCAGTCTGGTCTAGTTAATAGTGAATTCTACAGAAACCATTATAAGTTGCATACATTTATTTTATTTTATTTATTTCATCAACTAAAGGGAATTATTATTATTTTTGTTCCCTTGGGTTCCTAGTGGAACATAGGGCTTCAACTGCACGCCTCCACTTGCTTCTGTCTTGTGCTGTACTTTTCACTTGCATCCATGTTAATCCATACTGTTTCAGTTCCTCATCACACGATCTCCTCCATGTCACCCTTGCACCGACGAACCACTCGCCGCTTTCCTTTCGGGTTCCACTCGAGCACTGGCCTGACGCGTGATGTCACCCAACGGCCTCCTCAGCGAGTGTACAATCCATCTCCACTTTCTCCTGCATATTTGTTGAGCGATTGGCTCCTGTTTTGTTTGTTCCCATAGTTTCTTGTTGGTGATTCTGTCCGGCCATCTGATCTTCAGTATAGGACGAAGACAGTTGTTGATAAAGGTCTGCAACAGGCTGTTGGAAATATTCTTCTGACCCACCAAGTTTCTGATCCGTACAGAAGAACTGACTGACTTGACGTTTGTATTGAAAATCCGAATTTAGTTGTTGATGCTGAGTGACAGCGGAAGATTTCCAGATTGGTTTCAGGTTGATGAATGTGTTTCTCGCCTTCCCGATTCTCGCTCGATTTGACATCGTCGTCCGTTCCTCCTGTAGTTGAGACAATGCTCCCTAGATAAGTGAATGAAGTAACCTCTTTCAAATCCCTTCCGTTGATGGTGATTGGCGCTGGATGTTGCTGCTGCTGTTGTTGTTGTTGTTGTTGGTTGGTTGGTTATTTTCATAACCTCCGTCTTGTCTATGTTCACCTGGAGTCCTGTCTTTGCTGCTTCTTCGACCAGTTTGTCGGTTTTCACCTGTAAGTCTTCGATTTTGTGTGACATCAAACATAAATCATCCACGCGCGAAATCCAGGTCTTCTAGGTTCTTCACATCGGTCCAGGATATCCCTGTCTTCTCGTTTCCCACTGTCTGACACATAATCCAGTCCACCACAATTAGGAATATCATTGGTGATAATAAGCACCCTTGTCTGACTCCTGTGTTTACTCCAAACGCCTCACTGAGTTTTCCGTTGTGGATCACTTGACATGTGCCGTTGTCGTATAGCTGTTGAATAAGGTTGATGAATATTTGGAGTACGCCGTAGTACTCGAGTAGTTTCCAAATTACTTCGCGGTCAACGCTGTCTGTCGAAGGCCTTCTCAAAGTCTATAAAGTTGAGGTAGAGATTTGATTGCCATTCCATGCTTTGTTCTGTGATGATGATGCGTAGAGTTGCAATTTGGTCAGAACATGATTTGCCTTTCCTGAATCCAGCTTGTTCTGGTGGGGCTGGTGGAGTTCTGTATCCAGTGCGTCCTTTATTCTCTCCAGGATGATGCGACACAGGATTTTACTTGGCATCGACAGGAGCATGATTTCTCGCCAGTTCTTGCAGAGTTCTAGGTCGTCCTTCTTTGGTAGTTTCACGAGGTAACCTTTCCTTCAGTCAGTAGGAACCTTTCCCTCCTTCCAGACCTTTCGCAATAATGGAGTCAGCATATCTGCTCTCGTCTCTGGGTCCGCTTTCAGTGCTTCAGGGGGTATTCTATCTGGTCAAGCTGCTTTTCCGGCTATCAGAAGCTTGACTGCATTCATGACTTCAACTTTCATTGGAGGATTGGTGTCAACTTGCAGTTGTGTACGTGCTGTTGTTGGTATTTCTGGACGGGTTGTAGGTGGTGGTCGGTTCAAGAGTCCTTTGAAGGTGGTCCGCTCACTGTTTAATCTGTCTTTCTTCTTTGGTAATTGGGTTCCCTTGGCTGTCTTTTATAGGTTTCAATTGTGTTGATCTCTTCTCGGATAGAGAATTGGTTATCTGGTATAATGTCCTCAGAACCATTTTGCCTGCTGCCTTCTCAGCTTCAGTAGCCAGGTTGTCGTAGAATTGTCTTTTGGGAATTATAATTGGGAATTATACACAAGTGAATTAAGTATTTAGCGGAGGCCTTCCAGTTTCTGACTAAGTTCTGCCAATCAAGTTTGTAATTTGGTCAGCTACCGAAGTGACTCTCCACTGCAGCTCATCTTGGAGTGATGTCGAGTGATGGTGAAGATGTTCAGAGGCTCATGGATCGATATGTCAAGTACCAGTGAAATCTCTTGGTGTGATAGTGTGAGACAATTTCATTGAAGGATACTGATAACAGAAGCCTGAATTGGAATTATTGAGGAGCCATGAAGGTGGGTTCGTGCATCTCAAATCAAATAATTCTTCAGACTGAGAAATTCGTCACCAAGAAAAAAGCAGATCAATGTTTCCATTAAAGGCGATTTCATTGAACATTGCCCACTTCGCTAGCTGGCTGCATACTGAAGATCAAATGGCCAACCAGAAAGAATAAGCCACAAGGAACTTTGGCAACAAAGCAGCCAAGCGCCGCTCAACAAATATGCAGGAGAAATTGTAGGTGGATCGAGCACACATTGAGGAGGCAGCTGAATGACATCGAACGCCAGCCCAATGCTCGAGTGGAATCAAAGTGGGAAGCGATCAGTGAATCATCCTAGGGTGACAGGGATGATATCGTGTGAAGAAGAGAGGGGAAAGTCTGGTCAGTTTTATAGCCAAATAAAGAGGACTTCAGAAAACAGAACAAGGCGGAGATATGTCGTTCCACTCGGAACGCAGAGAAAAAATAGAAAATAACTTGGACAGTAGTGAGATGGAAACCTAGTCTGGCGTAAAATGCCTCGGAATACTTCTATCCTGTGAACTTCCTTCGTCGGTCAGTCCACACCTCGTCAGTTTGTGGTAAATTTTCCGACTAGTGTACTCATCACACCAAGCAGTAGCAATATTCAAAGAGGCAATCAAGCAAGCTGGCCAACTGGCTCACTTCCTGATTGACCGGTTGGCTGGCTGGAGTCACTCAACCTCCGCTTTTACAATTTATCAACTCTCACGTCCTACCTGTTGTTGTTCATCGCTCATCCTGAGTCTTTCGTGTGCCATTCAGTCAGATGGGACTATGTCATTTTGTACAGGGTATTGGTAGTTGTCAGTAGGGTAGTGAGTGTACCAGTCAGTCAGCTCATTAATACTGTAATCGACAGATGCTTGAATTCATGGGATGAGTGGTCCAAATCCATGTTGTCTGACACTCAGCATCCTCCACATTCACAGGTCGCCCCTTGAAACCCATTGGGTAGGACTAAAATTCATTATACCAGATGATTCACTCTCATGAAAAAGTAGAGAATCTCAACGACACCTTATCCTTTTTTTAGATTTCAATGGTGATACGGTTGTCTTGTGGATCCTAGTTGATTCTTCTGAATACAGCATTAGGTGGGCTCAAATTCAATGCATCGAAAACTGGTCAGTGAATGCAGTCGATATTGTGGTTAGTGAGTGGCTGAGTGAGTGAGTGAATGAAGTGAGGTGAGGCTGATATTCATCTGGCAGTAACACTGTCCTCTATCTAAACTGCTTCACCAGTCTCGCTCACCAGATTCACATATTGCTACGTGGAATAACTGATTATTACTTAGATAAAAGATTACCTGAAATCCTGTCATCACTACTGCATTAATTACTTAGCGAGCAGGATACAGATAATCGCCTCATTCCGTTTCAATCTCTCATTCTCTCTCACTCCAACTCTCCTTATTTTTTCCACTCACTCACACGCCCAGGCACACACTCACATACGCACGCACATGGACGGAAAACATCAGTAGACGAAGGTGAATATACGAACATGCTCATACGTATTCAATCTCCATTACTGGTCTCCTCCCCACCTAGTGTTCATGCTGAAATTATACGAAATAGGAAATAATATTGCATGATGAGATATATTATTTCTGTTTCGTCTGATTTTATCATAGTTTGACTACACACAGTTTTTTCTATACAAACATGAAATTGTCAGCATGTGATATAGGTAGCTGAAATTTAGCAGGCCGAACACTGATATCAGGTATGCGTCGACCGGGAATCAAACCCCGGATCATGTGCATGGACAGCGAGCGTCCTTACTGCCGTGAAACTGACACATACGAGTGAATGGAGATTGGTGCATTGTGATTGCTACTGTATCTCTCCAACTGTCCACAATGTGTAGTGTGTGATGGGAGAAATTAACAGTCCTTCCATGACTCAATTAATCCCAGTAATATGAAGGTGTGTTGAGGAAGACACAGGGATGATTGACTGCGAGCGATTCACGTCACAGTCGAAACTAAAAAACTAAGTAACTGACATACTGACTAACCATCTTTTCACCATTTCCACACACTTCCACTAAGGTGTTGTTGAATTCCAGAGGAGAGTGAATCAGCATTTTCATGTTGTGTGCTGTTCGTTGTGCTGTCTTGTGAGTTATTGTAATCGGGCGAGGATAGGATTGATTGTTCATCCTAACAAAATTGATGTCACAATTGCTCCACTTCCGTTTCGCAGAAAATATGTATTGTGATCTCTCCTTGTCTTCCCATGTCTTAGCGATTTCCGGTAAAAT